CGGCATAAAACCCAACTCACTCACTTACTCCTAACCTGTGAATTAATGAAATGCAAGTGATTCAGTGGTGATTTGCTCACAAAGCAGTTTTCGTCTTATGCTTCCATAAACCACCAAAATAATCAGGCCACACCCACTTACAGACTAATGTTTGCAGATATAGTAAATGGATGGGGCTTGAATATACTGCAAAACATTGTGTTTGTAGCATTACAGAAGTTGACACCAAGCAATCACTCCCCAGAACCCGTTTGAATTGTATTATTACAAGGAATGATGTCAGTGAATTTGTATTGCAGCGGTTTGTGTCCAGGATTAAATTGTGAAGCTATTCTTGTTGATGTATTTTCTTGTCTGACGTGACTTCAATATTTTTGTTTGCATTTTTTATAGATGTATCAACACAAAAACCTGTGTGCATAATCTAATTAATCTAGGCATATACACTACAAATTTTTTTATGCCCTTTCATCTGACTAAATAAAAATACGTAGTAAATATCTTTTTCAGTTCAATTCTAGGGCTGGGACAATTCACCGATGCACCGATACATTTAAGTTTGATAAAGCTATCGTATTGTCGACAGGTGTCGATACAAAACGATACACAACTTTTTTTTCAAAACAGTATACCAATATCAGATAAGATACCAGTATCTTAAACATGTTACAGTACTTATTTAGAGAAAAATACGCAAGTATGATAGAGTTACTTGTTTGTTTATTACAATAGTGTTATTGTTATACACAAATACCTTGAAATAAATCATTTTAGATCTTAATGCTGTGTCATTCTTTCAAGGTGTATGTATTGTGATACGTATCGGATCGCAGGTAAAAAATCGCGATACATATCGTATCGTGACATAGTGTATCGTCCCAGCCCCATTCAATTCCCACAGGTTTGAACGGGTTGAGTTCTCCATCTGCTGGAATACTTTCTCAACATGTGGTAGAGTAGAGTCCAGTAGAGAGGAACTCGACACAAAGTGGTATGCCAACGTGGAGTACAGACACAGCGATATCCACGTGCATGTGCGTGCAAGCCAGTGGCTGGTAGCAAGAGCACCTATCTCATTGGACAACAAAAGAAAAGAATCGATAACCTTACTTCCTGAAAAAATAGCATTTTTTCGAATTCCATCTGATTAAATGACCCCTTGAAAATAGCCAATTTAACCAGTATCTTGATACAATATGCCACATTATCACATTCCTACAACCCCACAGGTCCTTTGGGAGATGAGGGGTAACTAACGTCCTTTGCTTATTGTCAGACATAAATCCTCTCGACCTCCTTCTGTGTGAAAAACAAACGTCCCTTTGTTAGTTGTGAGTCTTAAACCACAAGCTATCTCTTCTTGATTACAAATGATGAAATCGTATTTATGTGGGACACCGTATCCCACACACCCTTAAAGTACTGATGCAGAGTAAACGTAACGGGCTACAAAAATACACCTAGCATTGATTTCGCCAATTTTCCCACAAGCCTCTTCTAAGCTCATAGCACCCTTCCTGGTTGCATCCTTTCACAAAAACATAATTTCTCACATAAACGCCATAAATGAGAATAAAGTCGGATGGTTTATTAGTCACAGCTCGACTTCGATCCGCAATATAATGATTGCTTCTTTGACACATGTCCACTGATCGGACAAAATGGGTGTTTTATTTACCAGCCGCTCATAAATGAGTACCGATCCAGGTCTATGGACAGGGAATATCTGCAATCACTTGATTAATTGAGATTTCCGCTTAGCAGAGCATAACTGTTGCTCAGCTTCAAGGATGGTCACAGATCTGTGGTTCTGTTCAATCTTGCGATGAGCAGTAACGGATAGATCTCCAATTTATGGTTGCGATCATTATTGACATGAAATCTGAACTAGATCTGTGTCACTGTTACGTGGAGAGGGAAGTAACACTGTATCCATTCAACATCAAATATTTCATTTGTTTGTGGTTTCTGCAAAATCTAAGCACAACACAAATCCACACATTTTCCATTTTTTAAAATAAGTTAATATCCTTTTAGTGCTGTGCAGAGTGTGTTAAGTAATGACAAATAATTACCTACATCCATTGCAATCAACAATTCTTCTGTCTTATGACATCTTTAAGAGGAGAGAGAGAAAGAGAAAAGAGAGAGAGAGAGAGAGAGAGAGAGAGAGAAAGAGACACAGAGAGAGAGAAAGAGAGAAAGAGACACAGAGAGAGGGGGGATGGAGGTTACGGTTATTATCACACAAATACACACACTTAGTTATGTATATCTTTATTAATTTATTATCTGAATTAATTATTCACTGAAACTTTGTTCACTCAAGTGTTAGGTGCCTCTAAGTTATATCCACCAGAATGCTGACATCAGACAATATCCACATTACATTGTGCTGAGACCTTTATTTCACATTGTTGTGTTGTATATACTGACATACTGTAGTCACCATTAATCAGGCATCAGTGTATACATGTACGGTATTCCCCATAATATCTGACCTATGTGATACGTGAATTGACAAATGGGACAGGAGATAAATTTGTTGTCAGAGATAGAGTGGCAGAGAAAAGACATTGCTTAATGACTATGAACTCCAATGATGATGGCTACTTGGCGCTCACATACATTCTACCCATGTGTATTTTCTGTGAACACATCTCTGCTAAATACAGGAAACTACAGATTGTCATATGAATCCTCAAGCAAAGCACAGGTACAGGTAGACTTCCACAAGTCTATAAGGTAAAAATTAATAGTTTCAAAGATAATTTCTAAAACATAATACATAACAGACTGGGGTCCTTGTCCGCTTATCTAGACTTGCCTCTTCAAAGAATAGAATTATTAATGTTCTCCTGATAACTTATTAAGACTTCAGATATTCCTGTTATAATTAAAGATATTCATAATTTGTTACATGTAAATGATATATATATAACTTGTAAATTATCCCTATTGCAAGTTGAGTGGTATTATATTTTATGAAGTGCCATATATATATACACATACATAATACTGTCTTCTTACAACTGATGTAGAAGTGTTACCTTACCCAGATAATGGCTACACGACCACCAGTCTCCTACATATATAGATAAGTGAAATTGGAAACTCGTTCTTCAGACCTCTCCGATGAAGACAGGGCAAGAGCAGCACAGATATCTTGGATATAGACATGTTTGTTGAAGTGAGGTTATTTGGTGTGAACGCAATCTCTGCCATTACATCAGGCTTGGTAGAGTTGACTGATCTCTCCAATCAATACTTCAATAATATTCTATTTAAGTCTGGAACTGAAGGATGAACGTCTGAGGGATTAACTTTCTAACAGCTTTCCCGAGTTCCTAGTTTTCTATGACATTTGGTAAATTTCGTGTTGTTCGGTTCTCCACCACTGCCCGCTGGTTGGCAAACCCAGTCAATTATCGATTATAGAGGGCTACAGATATTCTGTGAATTTTCCAGAAATTTACACATCAAAGAGCGTTTCCTAAAAATCATGATTTCAAATTTGGAATAATCATTTATATATTTCATGAATCGTTGAACATATTATTGGAATCATGCATGTAACATATTTTTCTAAACAATCGATTGTTGAAATGTATAGTTCATTATAATGAGTTTAGTCGGAATAAACTAAAACTGTGAGATTAATATCACTTACAAAAACACAACATATATTTGAGAATTTGACAGAAAATTAGTGAGCATTTGAATATGAATGAGATTGACAGCTGTTGAACACTGTAACCAGTTATATTCGATCTGCATGATGGCGTCCTGTAAATCATGGAGTCAGGCCTCAGTTAAATCTCTGTTACATAGCATCATCCCACGATCTCAGGGAAATTTACTGATCAATATATTGACTCAAAAGTATTGCAATGTATCCATATACATTGATATATAATAAAATTAGCTATTCTCAATGTCACAGATAAAAGTTAATTATATGGGATTACAATAAATCAAAATAAACCTACATATGACCTGAGCTGATCAATATAACAAATACAGTAAATTGCTGCATTCTAACATGAACTTTATGCTACATTCTCATTGGCCATCCTATTGACAATCTTATGACATGTGACAGTGTCAGGGGCAGTGAATTACGTATTAGGTTTCAATTTTTATCAAATTTGTATCAATGTATTATCAACATTAAAACATGACTGATATGTCAATACCGCGACATAAACATCGTCCCTGCTAACAAAGTCCACAGGTCAAAGTGATATCTAGTATAGTTAGTAACACAGTTATATGATAGTAGCCTACAAAATAATATGCTATCACCTAGGTGTATCTACATGTACAGGATGACACTTACAAACCAAGAAACATCATCAGTGCCAATCTGGGATTCAAACCCATGCTCACAGGTTTCTTACACGCCTGAACATTGAACTGCAGTACCCAATGGGCTAGAACCACTGTCCCCACATATGGTTGTGGAAGTCTTCTGTCGGACACCAACCATACATCCAGTATCCTATGGCTGGCCTGCTCATGAAGTCTTCTCCGTGGTCTCCAAAGCCTCAGTCAACTAAATGATTTCAGCCCTATGATGATCGTAGTTGATGATCAACTTAGTATGATCAAGTTACGATCAACTTAGGACACTTATCGTGGAACGGCTCCCTGACCAACACCAGCTCTAGGGGCTGCCTTTAATGTGTCTGTATTTCATGACCACAAAGACATAATTCTACTGGTCCACATGCATGGACCTCCTGTGGTCCAACTGTACCAGTACCAACATTACAGCTTGGTCAGTGATTAAATAGCTGATATTACACCATCAGCTGATATAACATGTATTCACTGCAGCTGATATATCACACTTGCAGCTGATACAACAGGTATTCACTAGATCTGATATATCACACTATCAATGGATATAACATATATTCAGTAAAGCAGATACCTATAAACTTCTTCACTTCATCACTACAGAACAGAATGGAACTGTGTCAGTGTTGAATACTTACATTTCCACCAATGTCTAAATCTTCGTCAAGTAATTCCAAATCAAAATCTGCAACAAAGTAATCAAACTATTATTCACACATCTTCAAGGCTGTCTTGCTGCCATCTAAAGTTGTGGCTACAAACACAGCTGGGCTTCCTAACAACCAGCAACACATAAAAGGAAACCAGCATCAACCTCAACATCATTTGTCTGTGGTGCTAACCAGTGCCTCATTGCAAGCAATCTTTGTCTGTGGCTCTCATCAATGCCTCATTGCAAGCAATCTTTGTCTGTGGCTCTCATCAATGCCTCATTGCAAGCAATTTTTGTCTGTAGCTCTCACGGTGCCTCATTGGAAGCAATCTTTGTCTGTAGCTCTCACGGTGCCTCATTGGAAGCAATTTTTGTCTGTGGCTCTCATCGATGCCTCATTGGAAGCAATCTTTGTCTGTAGCTCTCACGGTGCCTCATTGGAAGCAATCTTGTTTCAGCAGAACATGTATCTGCTTCCTAATCTTTGTGCACAGGATAGAATCTCCTTTGTAGTGGTTTGGCTACAGCTTTACCCCCGTCCACCCCCATCCCACCGGGTACCCACTATACTACCCAACTCAACTCAACCCACCATACAGAAATCAGAGAGTGAGTTGACTGCAACTTTGAATAGTATTTAAGTAATATCATGATGTGTAAGTCTAATATAATGTATGATATATCTCCTTTACTTAGTTTATAGAATATTGTCACTGTTTCTACATCGAACGTTTGCCCAATAAAATATCTTGTATCATGTATCTTGTATCTATCTGAAAAAAGGAAGATTGCACATGTTTGAAGTGGGAGCTACAGACACACGAATTTTTTTTAGGAAACTTCATTATAAGTAGATCCTGATAATCTAAGGGACACAACTCTGCACTATGTGCATATATACACACACACACACACACACACACACACACACACACACATACATACATACATACATGCATGCATGCATGCATACAGCATAGAACACACAGTGATCCAGTGATCCAGTGACTATTACATATTTATGTTATAGTATAGTATGTGTGATAATCAAACCTTTGCACAAAGCAAACACACCTCCATCTGAACCCTAAACGTCAATGCTGTAATCTTGGACCACAATCGATGAAACGTGGAGGTATCTACCAAGTCAAGCTCCACCTGCAGTGACCCTCTCACTACTTCTTTCTGTACGGAGTATCAACTCAACACTCACACAAGTAAATCCTCACTTTATATTTAAGATCTGCAACAATCAATAATTTCCGTAAAATAATCCTCACTGCATTCTTAGATTACACTTCAAGCATTTCCTTTAAACAGATTGAACTAATTTATCAACACTGCACTGAAAAATGTTGGGAGTCGAAAATGTTCACTCCTCAGCTGTTGGGGATAGTCAAGCTAGAAAAGCTTACAAGTGATTGCCAAAATATTTAAGTTTTTAGCCACAAGTGTAACGATGACACACATGAAACCTAAAAGGTTTCCTGGAAGTGCAAGTCAAGAAGAATATCTTTAGAACTCTTAATTTCTTTTGCTAAAAAACCACTGTTTCCATCAAAGAACACCAATTAACAGACATTCTCATGAGCTCAGTCATAACATAAGTCTAGGAAATGTCCATTATCGGTGATGCCAGTATGACATGATGACTTCCTAAATGTAATGTATAAACTTTGATCACCTCACATGTCCTTTGAACATACAACCATTTTAACATTACAAAATTATTGTCATTTGACGACCACTTGAAAAAACATATATGTTATATCGTGTACTGATTTAAATCAACTCATAAAGAAACGTGTTGAAATGCCCTCTCCAATAAGCCCATGAAAATCAGTGCTAAGCAGTGCATAAAATTGGTAATTCCATCAGAAGGCAAATTGGTAAATCTAACAAAAAATGGCATTTCATTAATAATTTGTAAAAGAAAAAAAAAAGCCATGTTCTTTTTACGATTGCTTCAAACTAACTTCTTCAATGTCTCAACCTACAGAATTTTTTGTCAGTAATTGACAGGAAATTCACATCATTAAACAGGCAAGTCATAAAACCAGGGCATGAATATCAGAGGTTCTGTAATCTGACAGTGAAATTTATATAAATATTTGTCACATAGCAGCATAAATAAAATCTCCATCTTAACTGCAAAATGGTTAAATGAGAACAAGTTATCCCTTCATGTGGACACTGGTTATACACTGGGTTAAATATAGGTGATACCTGGTTTTCACCGGTTATACACTGGTTATACATCAGTTATACACCAGTTATACAGTGGTTATATATATATAGATTATACACTGGTTTTCACTGGTTATACACCGGCTAAAAGACATTCTACACACTGATACACAAATTACAGCTATTTAACATGATTTCTATCATAGCCTGTGGACACAGATGACTTAATTGTCATCAGACTAGCTGATAAACAAGTCGATATATGCTGATCCTGACTTACTGTCAGGCGTCATCATGTCTAGTTCAGTTCTGTCTAGTCGGTGAATCATTAAACTTATTTCAAGAGATGTACTTATTCCATACCTTAAAATTGACACCATATTACATATTAACAAACATGATTTTAACTCCTGCAGACAGAATGGCCTCCACTGTTGGTATACAATAATACACAGCCTGTCCTACACCTTGCTGGGTGTACATGGCTCGTACTGGGGACCCGTTGGTAAATACAGTCAACAAAACCCTTTCCATAATCACAACAGAATATATATAAGAGTGAACTGTGAGATTCCGGGTCCACCATCATCATGTGTTTATAAGTCACCATCAAATACCAGGTGTTTGAACATTAATCCTGAAGAAAAGGCTGCCATTTCCATCTGAATAAATATAAGTGACAAAACTTTTGATACAATCCCAGGAAATCTGTGCTACAAAGGTGAGGTGAGGTGAAATTGGGTTTAACGTCGCGCTGGAGAATATTTTGCTCATATGACGACGTGCATGCGTGTGTATGTGTATGTGCGGCTGCTTGTACTAGCCCAGACTGAAGCTGGTTTTATAGTGCTAGACCACTGAGATACCATGCCGCAGTGAAGCATGAATACCCCACTCAGACACATTATACTGACTCCGAGCCGACCAGTCCTTGTTGTACCCATTAATGCCCAGTGACAGGCAGGGACCAACAAGTACCATATTTTAACGTCTTTTGGTATGACGTGGTCGGGGATCGAACCCGCGACCTTCCGCTCTCCAGGCGGACGCTCTAACCACTACACCACGGAGGCGGTCTGTGCTACAAAGTCTGTTGTACAATTCTGACAATATCATGAGTATGTGTTTATAGATCACTATGACACAGAGATATCACCAGACACGGAACCCAAATAGTAGCCTGTGTAGGATGTACATGATGCAACCATGGTTTGCTTGTACCTGAATCAGAACTCATCTCAGAACCTGACATAAAAACACTCATTTCAAGCCCATGTATAATTCTGCTGATCTGTCCAGGTACTGAAGCTATTTGATGCACACTTGTTGATACCTGTTATTGAATAAAAATATGTCAGCACTAAGCATAAACCACATTTGGGTGGAACATTTCTTTTGCATTACTCACACAACCATCAGCTCTAACTGCAAGAGGGACATGTTCTTAATTTCACATGCACTTGACAATTTGGTGAGAGTAAAAAGAATAAAAATCAGAACATGGTCACCTTATGTGATCTTAATCTCGGGTTTCACAAAACAGGCCTTGTTAGTGAAAACCTTTATGTAATGTTTAATGTGTGGTGTGTTTGTACACAGCCAACCCATCAAACGACTTTAATACCTCTTTGGTTTCGGAATCAGCCAAATAATGACCTGTCATTGTCGGGAACATCCGTTCCCTTTTTGTGTTCTTCTCCGCAGCACTGGTTCAACTCATGATCAGTTGGGGTAACAGAAAACGATTTAATATCCCAGCCCGGCAACAATGCTGTATTCAGCCTCTGTAAAAGTGATAATCATCCATACAGGACGCATCTTACAATTTGTCACGAAACACCGACAGCACTGTCATTTTCTGTCAACGATTCGCCAGTTGCCCAAGAAAACTGGTCATGCTTCACTGCTCATTTAGCACTCCACAGCCTTTTCAAGACACGAGGCGTCAAGAAATGTAACACAAAGGCTGGTGGTTTACAAAACACCCCCAAGTAAGCTGCATTTAAACCACATCACAGTGTTTATCCTACAGAGAGCACCTGAATAGACAGCCATTCTCCGCACTGAGAAAGGGACATAAATGAGACGATTCTGGTGAATGTAGGTAGTAATAGTGGCAACACGGGCACCTGAATACCTTGCTTGTAGGGAAGACAGGCTGACACCTCTCCTATTATCACCACTAAAATACTACACATCATTTCGCCATTTTTTTACAGTGGCCTGTATAGGTTGTCAGAACAGGAATTCTTTCCCCCATTGGGCTTTAGTCTAGCTTCTCATTAGTGGAGTCTGCTGGGGCTGTATTAGAGGACCTTTTTAGGGGTCACTTGCTGAGTGGTGGGGAAAATAGCTTTGTGCTTTCATAAAGAAGATCTTCTGTGATGGTCTTATTCAATCTGTACCAGGTGAACTTGAGTAGGTTCTTCTACCAAAGGGTTTAGTAGACAGACTACTGTGCTCGGACTTTATAGTGCACCTCCACTAACACACCTACTGACAGTCCACATGCTGACAAGCTGTAGGAGACTGTTGCGATGACTATTTCATCTGTATCAGAGACTACAAGTCCAAGCTGACTTGAGGATAGTAGTATCTCAATATGGCATCATACCGTAGCCACCTAACATAAAGACTCACAAAACTGCACAAACCATTAAAGTCTCTGTTCCTCATGCACAGCAGTCGATGATTAAAACACCATCTCATTCATGGTAAAACACATAGCATACTACAGCATGACAACTACAGTCAGCCATTGTTCCCATTTACTTGTGACTCAGCAGTAAACAGATTCAAACCTTCTAATCACTTGGATCCATTATCGCTCTACCTTTGGAGTCACA